TACAGGTTATATATGTGTGTTGCATGTGCCTTGATAATTGATCGCGACAAATTTGCCTTTTGTTTTTGTCTCTAATCTTTATTGTCTGTGTTATTATTGTAATTTCACACAAAAAAGAGAGGATACGCATTAACTCCCATCAGTTAATACGCAATTATTGTCATGATTAACCTTTTGTGGAGGAGAACTCGTGTAAAACGCCTAGGCCGACCTCATCAGAATATGATTTGTGAAAAAAAAGAATCATAATATATATATATAATGAAATAATCAAGTCGAATTACAGAGTCACAGAAACGAACAAATCACTTACAGGAATTGTCATTTTCTCGACAAGGTAAAAAGGTGTTTAAAAGGTAATCAATTTCTCCTACAGGGCGCGCAGACGATACCCAGAGAACTTTGGTTCAGCGGGATATTGTGTAAAATTCCGGATTAAACTCCCAAGCAACGAGAGGTGGCGAGAAGACCACCATTCCGTGCTTGAAATAAGAGGAATACATATATATATATATGTGGGAGCCTCACATACTTTCGTGTACAGAGCAAGGTGGGCCGACTATTCCATTTTTCCGGGTTGTGTAATAGTGTCATTTTTTTTTCTACATCGGGGCGCCGATTTCGTCCACAATACAACTTTTCACACAACAGATTAGTCACAAGTAATCCGAATCTCGGTTTAGAAACGGGATTTCTTCTTCTTTTTTCTCTCCAGTTTCTTTTCTTAAATAATATGTAGAATTTCTGCTTGTGCTTGGCGGCCTCCTCGATCTATAACAGCCTCTGGATCTAGGGCCACAGCGCGCGAACATTGTCAGACATAATGATTTTCAACACTCATTTTTGGTCCTATTTTACTTGCATTTTCTTCACTCAGTTCGGATTATAAATGTTTTTTTCCGATGTAGTTCCATAATTTCACAAATATGTAGACATTTTTCTTTTATCATATCACTTCACCACATGCGCGTGGGTGACGTGGCAAACCGCGCGTATTAAACACATGCGTAAATAAAAGCGCAGGTGAAAATGGTGGCCCTAATAAAAATATATAAAAGAAACCAAAAAAAAAAAGACATGACAGTGATATATGATCCCTGCACGTATTGCAAACACAGTTCATATTAAATTGCATATATAGAAGTAGTCCAGGAGCCAGTTAGACACTCTTAACATAAAGAATTTAGAGAAACGCTTTGGCCATTGGCAGGGAGCGTTGAGTATTGCACAGGGATCATGTATATAAAGATTTATTTATTGGTATAATGCAGCCGTACCAGAATCTATTATTTTCTGGACGTTATTGTTCTGCAATGTCAAAAATAAAATATCTAAAAAAAAAAAAAAAAAAAAAAAGAAACATCAGAAATGAAAAATATAAGAGAGAGACCTATGTGACGTGGACACTTGTATATTGAAATATATAGATATATATATATTTATTCTTACAAACTAAAGAACATTTGACTTCATATATCAAAGAAATTCAAGCACCTTAAAAATGACATGTAAAATATACATTGGATACGCCTGGCATTGCGACGCTGCCAATCAAAAAAAGGAAAAAAAAAAGTTATATTTTATACTTGAATCTACTAAATTGCTAATGTTAATCTACTAATTGGAACCTCTTCCTTGACACATGTGACCTTCGTTTACATATTGCAATTCTTTTTTTTTATTATTCCTCCTCTTCTCGTATTTTTTTACTTTTAGTTTTTTTTTCCTATTAAGAAAAAAAACCTTGGAGTTTTTTTAAGACTTGTGGGCGCCATATTTGTACCTGGAGTTCACACACACAGGTTTTTTTTATTTATTTTTATCCGTTTAACTCCTTTCTAGTTTTCTTTTATGTTTTATCCGCCATACAGCCAGTTCCGTGATTAATATAAAAAAGAGAAAAAAAAAGTTATTCTGTAAGTTCATGATAGTGATAATACTAATAAAAAAATAATGATAAAAGTACATATGGCTAACGTTTGCACATCAGAATGCAACCCATTTTAATTAGGGTTGTTCATTCATTAATTCCTTGTGCTATTTAACGTCAGGACATATGTGCATTTTTCCGCAATAAAATAATCACATTAAAAAAAATAGAATTGATGAAAAAAGACGAAAAACAGGGAAAGTGAGTGAGAGAGAGGTTTGCGTGTATCTTACATCACGTGACAAGCTATCAGCGCCTAGTGTTCCCCCGGGCCGACAGATGGCAGCATCGTCCATTACCTTAATGAAACTGTAAACCCGCAACTCCCTAGTAAACCAAGGGGGTATAAGGGAGGGTAAAGGCAAGGGGCTAGGGAAATGGGGAAGGGGGGAAGGGAGGGAGAGAGGGAGGGTGGGGTAGGATCTGGAACTTACCTATTCATTTCCTCTCGAAAAAAAGGGAGATGGGGTTGGGGGGGAGGGAACGGTCGGGACAAGCGATACTCGGCCTTATAAGTACCTGATCCTAAGGTTCAAAATCGCCCACCGGTATATTATGGCATGTTCGACTAGTGTTTTGTGTGTTTTATATTTTTCCTGTTTTATTCATGCAATTAGACTTAATATAAACAAAAAAAAAAGTTGATTTGATAGATGTCTATATACTTTTGTACAAATACAGATACGGCGTTTCTATATAACTCTGGGTTAAAATAATTCTCTAAATATACATATATAAAGGAATCTAGAATGAGGAATCTAAAAATATATATATTTATATCTATGTGATATAAGGATTTTTTTAAAGGGAGGTGATTATGGCACAGTATGAGCATTATCATTGTTTCTGCAATGGTACTTGAATATAATATATATATATATATATATATATATATATATATATATATATATATATATATATATATATATATATATAAACCCATATATATATATGAATAAACATAGAAAATAATAATAAAAGTAAATGAACACAAATAATGATAATAATAGTTTCTGTCTTATGATTTTTCTCGTTGTCTCGTCGTTTTCATGTCATATTTTAAAATTACTAGATGAATAGGCCTATTAAAAAAAAATCCTCTTTATATGGTTTTTTTTTATACTTATCTCTTTTACGTCACGTTTTTTTTTTTTTTTTTTTTTTTTCTAATAAGCGATTCTCCACAAAATTATTCCCTCTCTCTCTTATGCCCCTTTTTTCTTGTTTTTCTTTTTTTTTACTAGACGAAATAGGCCTAAATAAATCTTAAAATTGATCTAGAAGAACCTCATCAACTTTGCCATTAGTACAGCGAAGCACTAAATGGTATCTTTTTACTGGTGATTATACGGAAGGAGGCGGAGATAAAGATAAAAAAAGGGGGGAAGGGGAGATAGGAAAGGAAAGGAAGAAAATAGATTAGGAAAGGAGAGAGGTTAGAGTAAGGGCAAAGGAGAGACTGAAAACAAAAATGCCTGACTCTTTCGCTTTTCTTCTGTTTTTTTTAGAAATGTTTTTTTTCTTGGAGAAATGAGGGTACTTTTTTCTCTTTCTCTCTCTCTCTATCTATCTATCTATCTATCTATCTATCTATCTCTTTCTCTCTCTCTCTCTCTCTCTCTCCCTCTCTCTCTCTCTCTCTCTCTCTCTCTCTCTCTCTCTCTCTCTCTCTCTCTCTCTCTCTCTCTCTCTATCTCCCTTTTTCCTTCTTTCTTTCTTTCTCTCTCTCTCTCTCTCTCTCTCTCTCTCTCTCTCTCTCTCTCTCTCTCTCTCTCTCTCTCTCTCTCTCTCTCTCTCTCTCTCTCTCTCTCTCTCTCTCTCTCACCCTCTTTCCTCTCGCCGTTGTTGCCCTCACAAGCTCTTCGATAATTGGGATGTACACGCACCATGTGTCCAAAGACCTATTAATGAACAAGGGTGTGCTGGACCGCGCCCCCGCCCCCCCTGCCCCCCGTCCTCACCCCCCTCTCAAGTCCCATTCTGTTCTGTTGAAGAGTAAATCTATTTTTACGTTTTTTTTTTTTTTTTTTTTTTTTTTTGTAAATAGCTATTACATGAGTAGCATATGAGGGAAGGGGGGAAGGGGGAGAAGAGGGGAGAGGATGGAAAGGAGGGGGGGCGGTAGGAGAAGGGGGGTGAGAGGGGGGGGGAGGTGATTAGTGTGTGATATTTAACTCGTCTGACTTTTGGAATCTTCACCCTTTTTTTATCTCTCTAGTCATTTCTCCTTTCATTTTTTTTTCTTCCTTTTATTTTATATTTTTTTCAATCTCTCTTCGTTTATCAGACTCTTATTTTTACTTTCAGGAATAAAAAAAAAAAAAAAAAAATCGAGTTGCGTGATAGCACTGGAAGAACATATGGTAAGTAGGCAGACGAGGGAAAAGAGAGAGAGGGGGGGGGGGAGGGGAATATACCCATATGTTAACGTGTTTATGAGGGAAGGAATGGAGGGAGGAGAATGAGGATGAGGATGGGAGGAGGGGGAGGAAGAGGAGAAGAGAGAGGGAGAAGGAAGAGTTGGGGGAAGGGGAGAGTGGGGGGAGGGAGAGGGTCACAGTTGATGAGGCATTGTAGATTGAATTAGCATAAAGACGAGAGGGGAAAGTGTACACAAATGGGCACGTGATTCAAGACATTATGGTGACCGCTGATGGCATTCAGTACCTTAATGATCGAGATAAGATGCCCTTTTCGATACCCCTGTTTGAGATGGCGGCTGGGTTTGTAATATGTTTTTTTTTTTTTTCGTTTTGCTTTTTGTTTTTGATATCTGCTTCTTTCTTTCTTTTTTCTACTTTATCTGTTTGTTTTTTTCATACCTATAGAGTGTATATTTTTGATTTTGAGAATGACCGTGTCTAATGTAGAAGAAATCCCTCCTTGCATTTTTTCCCTTATTCTGTCTCTTTATGTCTCTCTCTCTTTCTCTCTCTTCTCTCTTTTTTTTCTCTCTGACTGTTCTTTGTCCCGAAAGCGGAACGGAACGGAGGAACGGATGGAACATTAAGCAAAGGTTTGGGTCAAGAAAGCCAAGTGTGTCACGACGGTTCACGCGTGTGGGGAAGAGGTCACCTGGTAACATAGGTCAGACTGGGGGGTACCAAGGTGAAAAAAGAAAAAAAAAACGAAAATAAAAAATATATATACCCCTCCAGCCTTTGTACACCGGCTGTATGTATGTACAGAGGGCGCGTGTGCGTGTGCGGCGCCAGCAGGCTACACGCTCTCGTGCCGTTTCATGTGCAGGCTGAGGTGGTCGGAGCGCGAAAAGGCCCTCTCGCACAGGCGGCAGCGGAAGGGTCTGTCGCCCGTGTGCTTGCGCAGGTGCCGCGTCAGCTCGTCGCTCCGGGCGAACTTCCAGCCGCAGCCCTTCCAGTTGCACATGTAGGGCTTCTCGCCGGTGTGCGTGCGCAGGTGGGCCTTCAGGTGCGACGACTTGGTGTAGATCTTGTGGCAGCCGGGGTGCTGGCACGTGTGGGCCGTGATCTTCTTGCGGCCCGTCGTCTTCTTCACCACTTTGCCCTCCTGCTCGTCCGGCGGAGGGGGCGCGGGCGGCTCGCGGGCGGCCTGGTGGTGGTGGTCCGAGCCCGTGAGCGTGAGGGCGTGACACGACGCGGCCGTGGTCACGGGCGTCGACAGGAGCTCGGAGAGGTTCGGCGACGAGGGCGGGGTCATGACCTTGACGAGCGTGTGGAGGGTCTGGCGGGTGAGGGCGTGGGTGGTCAGGGGCGCCGTGGTGCTGCCCACGTGGCTCACGCCCGTCGTAGACACCCTCACCCCGGGGGGAAGCTCCTCGTTGTCGGGGGACGCCGGGGGGGACATCTGGCCGTGGGTGTAGGTGACCTGAGTGACCCCCGCGACGGAGGGGGACTGCGGGGTGGACGTGGGCGGCTGGGGCGCCAGGGCGGGCACCATGCCCTCGCCCTGCGGCTGCGGCTGCGGCTGCTGTATGCACTGCTGCTGCTGTTGCTGCTGCTGCAGGTGCTGTTGCTGCTGAATTTGCTGTTGTTGGTGTTGATGCTGCTGCTGTTGTTGATGCTGTTGTTGTTGCTGCTGTTGCTGCTGCTGTTGCTGCTGCTGGGCGCCCGTGATGGCGGAGAGCGGCGGCAGCGCGGGGCCGTACGTGTTGAAGGCGAGGGCGTGGCCGCGGGGCTGCAGCGTGGCGATGGAGGGCAGCTTGGAGGGGGCCTCCGGGGGCGCGAACTGGAACTGCTCCTGCGCCTCGGGTCGCGGCGGCTGCGCGGGGGGCGGGGGGTCGCCGCAGTAGTGACCCTCGGCGGCGCTCTTGGCCAGGGCGTCCAGGTCCACGAAGTCCTCCGCCTGCACCAGGCCGGACGCGTCCATGACGCTGGCGGCGTACTGCGGCGCGCCCAGCTCCTCCGTCACGTACGCGTCCACCTCCAGGCCCTCGACGTAGGCGTGGTAGGGCGAGGCGTACTGGCCGGGGTAGGACGTGTCCATGGGCGTCGTGGCCGGCGACACCCCGCGGTAGTGCTGGTTGTCGTCGCTGGGGACGTGGTAGCCGCCCTGGCTCTCGTCTCCGCCGCCGCTGAGGTTCGTGAGGAGGGCCTCTGACGGCGGCGGCGGCGGGCAGTAGGGCGCGTACTGCAGGGAGTGGAGGCGCGGCGTCAGCGGGGCCGTCAGGGCCTGGGACAGTATCGAGGGCGTCTGGGGAAGCGACGGGGCGCTATACATCGCGGTCGAGGGCGGCGACGACGACGTGGATGTGGGCGTGGTCATGGCGTCCGACGTGACGACGACGGCGGGCAGCGGCTCCGGGTCCGGGCTGGACGCGTTGCCCAACAGCACCGTCTCGATGTCATGCCACATCTGCGGGAGAGAAAGAAACGCTGTTAGGTCTCAATCGTAAAACGAAATGGATTAATAAAATCTCTGAGCTGATCGCTTGCAAGGAGAGAGATTAGAGATAAGACACAAGTAATAACTCCGAACACATGCATGCATACATAACCACAAACGCAGCCACGTTAAGATCGACGGACAAAGCTGAAGTGTCACTTATCCATCCATCTACATGCCGAATAAAAATCATATCGACAATAAAACGTGTCGGCACATCGAGAAAGGTACTTCAACAACGAGTTTAACCGATAAGAAGAGAGAGGGAGAAGAGGGGTGGGGGAGACAGGAGGAGACAGGAGGAGACAGGGGTGGGGGAGGGAGGAGGGGCGAGACATACTTAATGAGGAAACACACACACACACGGGCGCGCACATACGTGTGTGTGTGTATATATATGTATGTTTATATGTATATATGCATATATATATGCTTAGAAGTCCAATATATATAAGAGCCCTAAATACTCAAGACATCTCACCTACCTCGCACCCTCCTCTCACCTCCCCCCTCTCCCACCTCTCACCCCCCTTTCCGCCCCCCCCCAGCCCCTCCCCCGTCCACGAGTAGCAGTAGATCGTGGCTGCTGGAGAGAACGCTCGTACCAGGGGCTGTTCCTCTCTACCGTTACCCTCCCCGAATAGCTTCTTTGCCGTCGACACCTGCAGTTCCTCACAAGACGGTCTTCGCTAGATAGGACTTCCATGTTAGATAAGAATACCTGGAGACCTGGAGGCGTCGATCGGTATCTTTTAAGTTCATAAGTGATTTTTTTTTTTTTTTGGTGGGGGGGGGAGGAAAAACAAGAACGTTTACTTACGCGTTTATGTTAAGTTTGCCTTTGTTTTGTGCCTTTTTGCTTATTGTTTTTTATGCTTTAAAATAATTTCCTTTACGTCTTAATTCCTTTTTTAATCTTTATTTCTTTCCTTTCTTTCTTCTTTCTTTTTAGTTTATACGTTCTTAAGTCACGGGTGAGAATTTGTGAACTGGAGAATACAGGGAATAATTTAAGTAAAAGAGGAACTGGAGAAATTAAGAAAAAGAATGAGAGAAAGGATGGATGGAGAAGATAAAAAAAAAAGTGGATGAAAAGAGAGAAGGAAGACGAAGAAGAAGGAGAAGGATTAGGAAATAGAACGAAACGAAGAGGGAGAAGAGAGGGGAAGTGAAAGGAGGGAGAAGGAGAGAAGGAACGAGAACAGGAAGAAGAGAAGGAATGGAAAGAGAAGAGGAGGAACGGATGAAGGGAGGGAGAAGAGGGGAGGGGTGGGGGGGGGGGAGAATGGGGACTAGAGACAGAGGAAGAGGGTCGGACGGGAAGAGGGAGGGGAGAGGGAGAGGGGAGAGGGGGGAGTGTATCTGAATTAAAACACACTAAAATGGATCATAAACACGTCGAAAGTGAATTGAAAAAGCAGTAGGGGACCTGGACACGCGGCGAGGGAGGGGCGGGGGGGGGGGGAGTACAGAGGAGAAGGAGGTGTAGGGGGGAGGGGGGAGGGAGGGGGTAGGGAGGGGGTAGGAGAGAGGGAGAACGAGGGATAGCATAATAAATAGTGGACAAGATAATAAGAGATGAGAGGAGGGAGTAGGAGAGGGGAATAGGAAACGGAGAGGGAGAAAGGAGAGGGATAGAGAGAGGGAGAACAAGGAATAGCATAATAAATGATAAATAGATAATAAGAGAGAACAGAGATGAGAAAGAGAGGAAAGAAAGTAGATAATAAGGATATGGAATGACATGATGGAGTTTCAGTAAAACAAAAACGAATAAACAAAGAAAAGAGAGACAGAGACAGAGACAGAGATAGAGAAAGAGATAGAGATAGAGAAAGACAGCGAGAAAGAGAGAGAGAGAGAAAGAGAGAGAGAGAAAGAGAGAGAGATAGAGAGAGAGAGAGAGAAGAGAGAGAGAGAGAGAAGAGGAGCGAGAGAGAGAGAGAGAGAGAGAGAGAGAGAGAGAGAGAGAGAGAGAGAGAGAGAGAGAGAGAGAGAGAGAGAGAGAGAGAGAGTCCCTACTGCAGTGATAAACTGAGATCAGAACCCTGGGTGGTGACTTTTACAATGTGGCTGATTGATTTAGGAAGATGCCTAGCCGAGGAAGAGATAGAAAGAGAGAAAGAGATTAAGAGGCGATAAAAGGGATGGAAAGGAAGGAAGAGAGAAGAGAGATAGATAAAGAGAGAGAAAGTAAAAGGCAAACAGAATGACAGAGAAAGAGAGAGAGAGACACACACAGAGAGAAAGAGAGAGACAGATAGAATGAGAATAAGACACAGACAGACAAAATATAAAAAACGAAAGAAAGAAAGTGTTAATAAGGAACGTAAATAGAGAAACAAAATTACACAAAAAGCATGATCACAAGGCAAGAAATATATATTTTCCTTTCTCGTTTCTAAGCAAGTCAGCATTTTTTTTCTGATGTATGATTCGAAAATATGAAATACTTATTTTTGCATATTATATCTGTATGAATTCTATTTACCTATGTATAAATGTTTACTTATCTATATATTTATATAGATAAATGTATGGTATGGACCACAGTGCTAGTAACTGTAACAGAGGTGTCTGCTATTGTAAAAGGAGGATAAGATTACTAATAGCAGTAGCAGTAGCAGTAATAGTAATAAAAGTACTAGCATGGGCAGCAGAGACAACATTATCATTAGCAGCAGTAGCAGTAGTAGGAACAATCGTAGTACTAGCAGTAGTAGCAGGAGCAGTTTAGTAGCCGTAGTAGTAGCAGAAACAGCAGTAATGGTAGCAGCGGTTGCAGGAGCAGTTTAGTAGCCGTAGTAGTAGCAGAAACAGCAGTAATAGTACCACCAATAGCAGCAACATAACTAATAGCAGCAGCAGTAGCAGGAGGAGCACTTTAGTAGCCGTCGTAGTAGCAGAACCAGCGGTAATAGTACCATCACCATCGGCCACAGCATCGTTCATTCCACCTTTTTTTCCCCCTCCCCCCTTTAAAAGACGATCCCGCAATTTCTCCAAAGGCACACGATACGATAAGGAACCGTGCTATGCATCACTAGCTTGCCCTCCCCCCCCCTCCCCTACCCCCCCCCCCCCTTATCTCCACGGATCGCCAGCGCTGCTCTCTTATCAGTCCGAAGATGAATGACTGGTAATACCCTGGTGCCTTGCAGAACGGAGAGGGAGAAGGGAACGGAAGATAAGGGGTGTATAAGGCGA